TAAGAATGATGAGAATCTAGTGCCTTTGATAGCTAAAGGTTCTATGTTGTAACACGAAATAAAATTAAGGAAATTTGTATCAAATTTTTCAAAAATTCTAAAGATTTTCTTTTTTCTAATCTTTGTTTGAAAGACTTGTTAATTTTTGGCTCAAAGAGGGGACTGAGTAAATTACAGGAGTTAAACTGGGCAAATGTAGCTGGGTGGATGTCACGAGGTGGATCCGAACTAGGATCTAAGCGACAATTGCCAACAAATGTGGAAAAGATAGCACAAGCTTTGAATGAACAGAATATCGAAGGAATGCTCATTGTAGGAGGATTTGAGGTAAATTATCAAAAAAACTTTTAATTGTCTTTACAAGGTGCAATAGTTTATTGATTGCCCTTTAGGCTTTTCATTCTGCAAAGATACTACAGGACGCTCGAAATAGCTATGAAGCACTAAATATCCCTATTATTGTGATACCATGCTCAGTGTCAAATAATGTTCCTGGGGTATGTTTCGTGGTTTGCCAATTTTGAAAAAAAATCTTTAAAAAGCGAGAAAATTACTGTTAACAATAAAGACTTGCAATGCCCTTGGTAGCGACACAGCTTTGAATGAGATCTGTCGCCAAGTTGATAATATACAGCAAGGTTCTAGAGGAAGCAGGAAGAGGTAAATTCTTCTAAAGCCCTTAAAAGACTTAGCTTCTCGAATCAGCAAATTAAGAGTGCAAATAATTGAAACTATGGGCGAGCGAAGTGGTTATCTTGCCACCATGACAGCTCTAGCGACAGGCGCTGATAAAGTACTAGTTTTCCAGGAGAAAATTACTGACAAAGATGTACAGCAAATTGTCACGGTAGTGTCAACATCTTACTTTTTCTAATTTTTCTTAAATTTTCTGCATAGGATGCTTATAAGAAAATCAAGGAAGGGCTTAGTCATTACACGATTATTAGAAGTGAAGGAGCTAATGAGGAGATGAGTTGTGAATATTTGAAGAATGCAATCAAAGCTCTTGATACTGACAATAAGGTGGGAACGCTTAGATATACCAAGTGTCGTAGAATTTCAGTTGGCTTTTGAGGAGATTAAGGAGTAGAAAAGGAAATTCTCATAATTTTCCGACTCCAAAACTATTGTATATTGAATAATTTAGTTGTCCACTCGTGTCGATATCCTCTGCCACGCTCAAGAGGGCGGGTCACCTTCCGCTTTTGATCGTCAAATGGGTTTACGAAAAGCAATCTATGCCTTTCAAGGATTTCTGGATCCAAGGAAGATGGGAGAAAATGATTGTTGCGTACTAGGTATGTCAAAGTGTAATTCGAGATGTTAGGGCAGATGATCAAAGATAATGGGAAAGATAATACGTTGATACCATTAAATCATACCCTAAAGCTATTGACCGGTCACAGCTCTATCTGAGAGCATGTTACCCTTAGTGAAACGAAATATTAACAGAGTTTTCAAGGTCTCGTTGGACGAACACTGAAGTTCACTGCCGTCTCCGATTTACTCAAAGAAGTCTGCTTTGAACATCGAATCCCATTGAAGCAATGGTGGCTACCGCTAATACCACTGGTTTCAGAGCTTTCAGGTAGCTGTGATTAACCTTGAGGGCTCAGTCGACTGCATTCACTTTTAGATGTGCGATAAGCTATAATATTGAATAAAACGCTTAAATTGCTACCTAACGAAGAAGAACAGAAATTATTGACACCTAAAGTGCTTTAATTTCCTCGAAATAAATTTTTTTATAATAATGGGGATTTTTTGTATTGAAAGTTGACTTGATGGCACGTTGAAGTTGTTTATGCGACGGCCTAAACTTTCGAAACAATTCCATTCTTTCGAAACGTTATTCAGTTTTAATCTACGCTGTTTTTGGCAATAGTATCTCAAACTATTCAAGCTAGAAGCAAAAGGAAAATCATATTGGGTAAATTAAAGAAAAACAAAGAAGTTTAAAACTCAAAAAAAATTTAATCTAACTGAACAAGAAAATCGTTTATTTAAAACCAGCTAAAACCAGAAAACAAACGAGAGACGTATGCCTGCTTTCTGAACTAAAACGTAATTCATATGTGTCTTCATATTCAGCGCTCAGTTTAATGGCCTATTGTAAGTAACGTTCCCAGTAAACAAAGTGTAGCATTGCGAAATCGCAGGGGTTCAAATAATTGGCTGGACCGTTATTAACTTTGCACATAGACATTGGCGAATAAACGTGCGGTCCGATATATCAAATGTCTCATCGCAATAGGTTAAGCTGTCTCTTAAAGTTGTTCAAAAGATGAAATCTGTTTGATCCCACCTTT